TAGGTAGCCGGTACTCAGACTAGTACCTAGGTATTAGGTAGAAACCGGTAGGTAGGTACTAGGGAGCCTAGAGTAGGTACCTACTATGTACCGTACGGTAGTTCTTCCCGTTAAATACTTTTCAATCTCCCGGTATCGAAATCGAAAACCGAGACATGCGGCCAAACTTTGGCTGCCCGTGAGACTCTATCGCAGTCCCACGACGGTCCGGCGAAAATTTCCATGCGAAAATATTACTGTTTGGGATCTCCCGGGGGCGGCCCTGGGACGGACCCGGTACCGACCCTCGTGAATTGCGGCATTTCACGAGGATCAAATAAAGCACCGTAGGTATCTCGTGTTTCACCTATTCGTACATCTTGTCATAGTTGCATCGCTATGATGGCTGAATCTTAGTAGGATTGCAGACGGCAGTCGATCTTTCCCGCTCCTCTGCACTCGAGATTCACCCACTTCTGTTTGAAGGTCAGAACATCACCAAGCCTTCCCCCTCGATCGCCCACCTCGGAATCATTAAGCCCGTGTGTCACTTCCGTATTGGAAAGCGCAAAAGCCGTTGACCCTACACAAACCCAACCTTAGGTCCGAATAACCCCATCACAAACCTTCCCCCCGGACAAACCGGTGCCTAAAAGGCACCATCCATGTCCGTGCGCAACTTGTCGTACTATCAAGCTTCCAGTGGTTTAATTTTGCCACACAACGCGTACAGTAGCTTCTTATCGCCCCTGCACCATGGAATGCACCAAAACACCCCCGCGCTCGGTAGTATGATTGGCCACAGACTCAGGAGAGTCGGGGGGCGCGCCGGTCTCCATTCGGTGCGCTTCTTCCAGGCGAAGCACGCTCTGTACTTCGAATGCGACCTCGGCCATCGTGGGCCGTTCGATGCCCGTGACCGCCAGGCATCGTGCGGCCACCGACGCGAGGGCGGCGATCGACAACGGAGACGCTTGCTCCGCGACCACCGGCTCGAGGAAGGTTTGCAGGGCGGGTGGATCGTTGAGGACGGGGCGCATCTGCATTGTTTAAGCGGCAAATGCGAAGTCGATAACGTTGGGGAATCGGCGCTTTGATGTGAGAAGATCGACGAAGATTCCCTCTGAAAGATTCAAATTCTAAAAGATGTTTCTCAGCAGAACAATCGCGAGGGGATTCCGAAGTGGCCACAAGGTTGGTCGCACTTAGGACGTAACTAGATGGGCGGCTGTTTCAAAACGGGTTGTACGAGATTGCTTGCTCATCCGGAAAACATGCAAAAAGCTAAGCGGGTGGATCCTTCAAGATGAAGACGCTTCCGACGGCAATCATTGAGTCGAAAGCTGACGTGCGGGCAAGTATCATTCTTGTACTCTGGCACTCGTCTTCGCAAGCTAGGCGATCTCAAGCGGCCGTGCGGCCGCGCCGAATCAGAATTTTCTGAGCAAAGCTTTTAACCATTTTACTTCGGATGCAACCCAGTGAACGTATGAACGGCAAAAGGAAACCCCTGTCGCGTATTCGGTGGACGATTGTTAGGAGGCAACGAATCATGCTTTCTTAAGGCCCTTAATGAAGGGCTTTGGTTAACGTCACTACAGACGCAAGGGCGATTTAAGGTCGAGTTTAAGGTCAACGCTAACCTTAAATATTTAGCATTTTAGATCATTTTAATCTGGTGAAAAAACTTTGTGGTCGAATTGAATTGAAATGTTGCATCCTAGAACCTCAAACTCGATCTTGAAGCGGCTTAGCATTCATGGTTTTAAGGTGACAGGTTTATAGGGTTTTAGGGGTTAGAGTTAGGGTTAGGGTCAGCTTAAACCGGGGACTGTTTACCGACCTCTCGCGCCAGGTTCTTGTGCTGGGCGGCCCCCTGCTTGGGGACGGCGCTCCGACCCGTCAGCAGCTCCAGAAGGACGACACCTGTCAATGCGCGCGAAATCGTCACCTTTAAAACATAGGCTTCCGCATCTGCTTTCACCTCTTCTTTTTCGACGTCGAAACTATATTCAACGGACCAGAAGGAAACGGTGCTTAAGAGGGCCCTTCGAAAAAATCCAGTCAAGCGGCAACCCAGTTCCTGAGAATCTATCTTTGCAGTCGCCCAAAGAAGCCGCGAGCGTCATACTCGCGGCGACACATAGCTGCTCCATCCTGTGTGTGTGTCGCCGCGAGCCACGTGGGACAGACGCCCTCCAACAAGGTTGTGCCGTTCAACCGGATGTGATGTTACTAAGAAAAGCTGAACGAAGTGTGCCCGGGAATTCATCGAGCAGTGAGCCCGTTTACCAAACTCGTTTTGTAGCTGCGCCCTTTCAGCTATGCCGTCGTAGAGCCCACGCAAATGAATCACCTAGTTGGTGGATCCAATTTGTTCTGCGGACTTCTCTTAGGCTTTGAAATCCGTACTGCACACTTCTTTCGGGCTTCAAACTTGCTTTTGTCTGCTGCTTCATGACTCGACTGCTGATCACGTCGAAAGGCAGTCGTTTTCCTCAGAAATGATATGGTCGGATGGATCCATCCAATGCGAAAACCAGTTTGAAAGGGGAGGGGGTTTCTGTCTATATGGACGGACGGGCCTAGGCTTTTTTCTGAAGATCAGAGTCCTTTCAAGGTTGTATGAAAGCAGGCAAAGAAATGATTCTCAGAGCTAGTTTCGACCCGGATCAAAGATTCTGCGGCCAGCTCCGCATGCCCTAGCGACTCTTCAGTATCGTGAAAAACTTCGATTGAAGTCCATGAAAGAAATGAAGCGCCCTGCTTGAGCCACGTGGTGCTCACCGTATGCGTACACGTCGCTCTTGTCGGTGACCCGCGCAGTTTCGTAGTACTCCGGATCCACGTATCCTGCATCAGCAAAACAGCCGGCTTTCCGCTATGCTCGAGAAGTAGGAATTCATTTCTAGTGGGTATTCTGCTCAGTTGTCATTTTTCGTTCTTCAAAACGATGATCAATCTGTCTAGCAAACAATTTGGGCAAGTGGGCAGGCAGACAGGGAGCGGTAACAATAAACCGTTGCAACGCCTTTCAAAAGTCGCTCTTAAATTTCTCGGATAGATTCTCCTTCCCTTCGTAAGCAACGAAGCCCGTCGATTATGATGGCTGAAAAAGACTCCTGAAAGGAAGCTCAGGCAGTTTTCTGAGTCCTGGAAGAAAGACCGCGCGACCCAACCCTCGGAAAGATAAACAACGGCGCTTTGGTAAAGATGTTTCCGCAAAAACCTCTTTCCTTAAAAGGAACATGGCAGCCCCCGATACTGCTTGCCCCCCAAGTGCAAGGAATACCTAGGGAACCGTCATGGCGACTACTCGAGAGACTCTCGCCAACCGTCAAGCCCAGGAGTTCATGACTGGCCGGCTCGTCTCCTCGAGGGACCTCTTACCGAGGCGAAACCCTCAATAACCGGTCCTAAACCCCACTCAACTTACTACAAGCAATGAAGATGCTATGTACAAATGCGGCTTTTGTAACGCGCAGTCTATCAGCCGGGAAAGGTGATCCTTCTCTTAGAAAAGTTCAAGCATTAGCTCAAGTTATAGGACACTAAAAACGTATACCCTGTTATCACCCGCACCACACCCGTACCCACCCTTGCCCCCATCCTGACCCTACCCGTCCCAGTACTATACCTTGAGCTTACTATACCTATTTCGGAGAACCATGGCAATTAAGGTGCCTTACCGGGGGTCCCGCACACGACGTTGGACTGGTAGCCGCGGGACTCGTTGAGGGAGGCGATGCAGCCGAGGCCGAAGTCGGAGACCTTCGCCGTGAAGTCGTCGTCCAGCAGAATGTTGCCGCTCTTCACGTCGCGGTGGATCACGCGCGGGGAGGCGCCTGCGTTTTGGAATCAGAGAAAGGAGAATCACTAGGGGCAAGACCTTGGAACTGTATCGCGTTTCAGGTTCTGGTAAAATCACCCGAAGGAGGCGCCCCCGCGCCACGTAGACGACCTCAAAACGGTAAAAAAGGGTAAAGATAAGATGAGGAAAGAAATTGTATAATTAGAATGAACCATACGTACGTGTTGAACTACGCGGCGAAGGGCCACGCAACGCAATGAGGAAAGTCAAATGCTTTGGGATCAGAAGGAATGGAGCCCGCTCGATGCCTCAGCCCCACCACTACTTCCTCTAACTGTGTCCTAACTCCTCCGCTCAAACAAAGGCTTTCTCAGCGGGATTCACATGCTTTTGCAAAAACTCATTTGACGAACTCAAGAGCGTGTTTATTTTCGAGAATCGGTCGGCCGGCGTCCCACCTGTGTGCAGATAGTTGAGCCCATTCGCAGTGCCGAGCGCGATCTGGAGGCGGGCCATGAACGAGAGCCTCGTCCGGTGCTTGTTGGCGCCTGCGAGCGCCCACGTGACAGAACGCGTCAGCTGGAGTCTTCCTCACTTTCTTAGGTCAGCGTATCTTCCTCTTGAAGTCAGGCAAGATCTCCTGGCTCGTGGCGAATCTAAGAATAACCTTCAGATGGGAATGGCTTTCGGCACGGCAGGTGCAGGACGCGCTTGCGTCACTTGGGCGAATTGATAGCACTGATTCTGCTGACGCAACGTGACGTCACTGGCTCACCCCCTTGCTGCAGCCAGCTGCGGAGGCTGCCGTTGGGCAGGTACTTGTACACCAGGATCTGCTCCGTCGCCTCCATGCAGAAGGCGACCAGCTGCACCAGGTTCTGCAGCCGAGAGTCGCCGAGAAAGGAGGTGAGAAGCGTTGCTTTGAAGTCTCGAAGCGGCATACTATTTAGAGTAGTGGTTTGATTGGAGATTGCTCTTTTGCCCTGGATTGAGCTCCACTCGGGTTTGATCCTGTATGACAATCTGCTCTATGGGCAGAAGAATTGAGGGTTAACCTTTATCCAGTACGAGGAGCTCAAAAGACCCACCAAAAGACAAGGCCAACCCAGAAGGAGGTGCCTGAGAACACAAGATTCTTCGAGCTAGACCATCCACTAGGCGAGGCCAAGATTACTGAGACCCCAATGACTTACAAAAAGAGATGGCAACGACGATAAGAAGCAGCTGACGGAAGAGTGAAAAGCCTAGAAAAGAGATCACAAAACAACCAAAAAAAGTGCGCACCTGGTGGTGCAGCCGGCTGAGCAGCTTGACCTCGGTGCGGACACCGACGGAGTCGTCGCAGGTCCTGTCCATGTGCGCCTCTAAGCACTGGATACTAATAATAAAAAAGTACTAGAAGGAGCAAAGGAACAGGAAAGACAAGCAAAAGGGAGTGCGCGAATGCGCACCTGGTGGTGCAGCCGGCTGAGCAGCTTGACCTCTTCTCGAACGGTCAAACTCCCTTCCAAACCCTTCCACACGAGTAGAAACGAGCGAAATACGGAAACAGCGAACACGGATCGAACGTCGAACTCCTCAAAATATTTAGGGGGGGAACAGGAGAAAAAACAAAAAGAAAACAAAAGCAAGAAACACCAGATTTTACCTGGTGGTGCAGCCGGCTGAGCAGCTTGACCTCGGTGCGGAACTCGCGCGAGGAGCGCATAGCCTCGCGGCACGCGCGCTTGACGGCCACGACGGATCCGTCCGGGAGCGCGCCGCGGTACACCACGCCGAAGCCGCCCTCGCCGATCACGTCCTCGGCCTGGAAGCTGTTGGTCATCTCCAGCACGTCCTGCTTCGACGATAAACCTCTCGGTCAGCTTGATTTGCAGTTAGGAATTGTCGGTGTCGAATGAGGAACTCGAAAGTTTTGGGTCAGCTGGGATCGCGGTCAAATGTGGTCCGAAACAAACGTGGAGATCGACAAAGTCCCCGCCTGGAAACTGTTGGTCGTTTCCAGCACGTCCTGCTTCGACGATGAGGCTTTCGGTCAGCTTGATTTGCAACCGAAAATGTTTTGTATCGGATCTGGAGCTCGACGGGAAGTGGAGGAAAGGGGGACAAAGGAAGGCCTTTGGTCTAGAAGCTGTTGGTCATCTCCGGCACGTCCTTCTTCGACGATAAAACTTTCGTTCAGCTTGAGTTGCGGATGAACATTTTTCGTATAGAATTGTTGTTTCCTGCACGTCCTGCTTCGACGAGAAAGCTCTGTTAGTTTAGAATCTGGTTGAGATCCGTCGTATGGAACGTGGAAATCGACGAAGTACCCCGCTTGAAAGCTGTTGGTCATCCCCAGCACGTCCTGCTTCGACGATAAAGCTTTCGGTCAGCTCGATTGGATCGCAGGTGAAACCGGTCCGTGTCAAATGAGGACATCGAAAAACTTGGATCGCAGTCAGAACGGTCCGTTAATGAGGACATGCACCTCATTTTCGTCTCCGCATGAAAGCTTTGAATGCGAGGCACAAAAAAACCCGCATGAAAGCTTTGAATGCGAGGCACAAAAAAACCCGGTTCCGAATGATAGTAAGCAGCGCTCCTCGCTGGCCATCGACGGGGATCTGTTGGTCCCGTCCAGTATGTCCTGTTTCGACAATAAATCTTTGCAGTCAGCCCCAATCGTGGCTGTGAACTTTCGTATCGAAACTGTTCACTCTGGTCATGACAAATCTCTGTTCACCTGCTCAAACTCGTGATTGCAAACCTTGCCTTCCGTAAGAATGAAGGATTGATCTCTCGATAAACACGTTGAAGACGGAAATCTCAGTTTGAAAATCCGTTGCGCGGAAATCAAACGTTGCGGGCCCACCATAACAACACCGCCATCTGGACCAACAGACAAACGAAACCCAATTGCTGCATCTACACAAAACGCCCGCTCTAGTTGCGCCGCAAGCCGTACCTTGAAGCTGAGCTTGACGAGGGACGCGATGTCATCCTCCAGGGAGAATTGGACGGACGTGTCTGCGCTGCTGCGGCTCTCGGACAGCCGCTTCAGGCTGCCGGGGCTGTCCGTCTGTCCGAAAAGAGAAGACGTTTGGGGTTCGCTCCACAGAGCGAGAGGCCCGTCACAACCAGTGAGACGGCTTTCGACGCTTGATAAAGTGTCAACATTGTGCGTGGAACAGGCGATGGAGGAGCATACTTTGCACGTTTGGGGCTGGATCGGTGGGCTGGGAAGAGAAGCAATTCTCGTCCGGCGCCGCATTTCAAATGGTAAGTAAGATTTGGTTCTGCTATGGAAGGGCTCAAGGGAGCGGATTCTAAAGCAAAGTATATCCGTCAAAGAACTTCAGGTAAAAGTTCCGCTGTCATTGAGGGACCAAGGTCTGCTTCTTTGTGCGAGCGCAACTGCGGGTTGCGTAGTACGAGCAAGAGCTTTTTACAATTGCCAGCTGTGAATTGAAATTTAGTGCACGACAAGATGCCAAAAGAATCCAGATCATAGAGAGATAATAACAGATTGGAACACCCAAAAGTGTGTTGCAAAAGCTGCAGAACACATAACAATGTCGTCAAGTGATCTGGAGAATCTGAAAATCAGCTCCAGAGATCGTCGATTTGCTTGTGCATCCAATAACTCCGAGCTCCCAATCTTGGCGCGGCTCGTCAGATCGAATAAGTCAATGTTCCAGACTGCCTAAATTCTGGACAACCTTATGATTCAGCAGCCTCGTTGAAAAGGCCACGATCCAGCGCTCACCGCCTGCGACCGGATGGCCGCCACCTGGCGGCCAAAGCTGGAGGGCTCGCTTCGCGCTTCTCCCGAGCGCCCCTCGGGGCCCGCGTCGCGCCAGTACCGCGGCCGCGTCTCCCCGCTGACGTCATCAGAGAAGTTGGATGACGACAGGGGCTCGGAGGGCAGCCGGTGGGTGTCCGAGCGCTGTGGGGTTCCGCTCCGGCGGGAGCTCCGGCCCGTTGCGCCGGAATAGGGGCTCGGCGGCGGGAGGTTCGTGCCGGAATCGGGGCCGTGCCACGCCCAGCCGTTGTCCTGGGCGAGACCTGCTGCTGAGACAAATGACAGAGGGCGTCTTTAAAAGAATATCAGCAAAAAACCTTCAAAGAAAAAGGCAGAAATGATGCCTTTCAAGAATGAGGGTCTCTATTGTTGGTTAGGGAGGCCCGATGCGCAGGGAACATTCGGCGGTCAATGCTACCGAAATGTTGACTTCCCTCTCTTCCGAATCAAACGAAGACCTCGAACTTGCGTACGTCGATTCTGATCGATCTCAACCATCCTCTTGTTGTGAAGGCAGGTCCCGAAAAACAGGTTGACGAGATTATTTTGCCTTTGAAATGGGTCCAACTTGAGAGGGATGCAGATCGAGAAACATCGTCCTACTAACAGCAATGTGAGCCTGCTCGCAATCAACTCCCCACAACAAAGCCATCTCTTGTAAGCCTTCGGAATACTCTCCGTGGCTTTATGTGCCACTCCTTTTCTCTGAATGGAAGCCTAACTAAAAGAGTAATCTTTCACGATCCGGACGACAGAAAAAGGTGAAGAAGGTACTGCGCTTCAGTAAGCCCTCACTTTTGGTCGACACTCCGAGATGCTCGTTCCGGTCAGCCGTATCACGGCGCGCTTTTCGCCGGCACAGGCAGACGCCGATAATCACCGCCACTAAGAGGGCGGCCGCAGCCGCGCCCGCGATCGCGGCGATAAGAGCGGCGGAAACGCCGCCGGACGACGCTGCAGCGCAGGGTTTTCGGGTTCAGAGGTTTGAGGTTTCGATATACGAATATTGGGGGAGATTCAGGGCTGATTACCTTGGGAGTTTGGGTCTCTTGATTGTTCGGAGGACTGTGCATGGCAGTGCTTGAAAGCTCGCGTAATGAATCAAGGACATTGCAACTAGAGTTGGAGAGATTCGATTTCAAAGCGAAACGTTGGGTTGTGCGAAGCGAAATTATCATACCATTTTCCAGACGGGATGACTTTCTCGTCTGACAACAGAACTGGGTTTTGCAAAGCGAAAGGTCATGGGTTTGATTCTAGACTGGATGACTTTCTCATCGAGAAAATCGGCTTGCGCAGAGCTTTTACTCTCCGACGGTATCAAGAGGAAGCTTTCTCACTACGCAAACGAGAGCAGTCTCCCGCAATTTGTTACGAGACGGCTGCTCTTCACGACTCGACCCACGAATCAATCACTCTCATAACCTTCAAATCAAATGTGAAGCTGCCGCCTACAAGCGAGCGTTTTCCCCCACCTCTAGTTACCCACAATTCGAAACACCAAAGAAATGCCATGACTTGTGCAACAAAGCGGAAAGAAACAGGTCGTGCCATGTGTCAAAAGCAGGGCGGCCCACGCTCACACTCGCTTGTCGGCGGCGCGGCCGCGGCCGCTCCGCCGCGGATCTGTTCCGGCGTCGGCAGAGAGGGCGGAACGGTCCCAAACGGCGGAAGCTGGCCGCGCACGACGCCGCCAGGATACTGTACGTTGTGCACGTTGAAATACGTGCTCGGAAGGTCCGCCGCGTACAGCGAAATTGCCCCGTCCGAGACGTTCGTGACGCAGCCCGAGAGGGGGTTGGTTGGGAGGTTCGTACCGGGGACCGGGTAGAAGGGGATCAGGACGGCGCCGGTCTCGGCTGCGGGGTTTGGTTCTGGGTTAGTGCGGGGTTTTGCAAGGATCTTTCAGACAATTTTGATTGGGTGATTAGCTGGGTTCAAAGCGCAGCTTCAAAAGGACCGAAGTTTTAAACGCATAAGAGGATGCTCGAAAAGCTTCGGGAACCGATTTTGACATACATAAGGATTCTACATTTCTGGAAACGGAAGAAAGACTTTCTTCTGCGGAAACGGACGTCTCTCCAGCTTGCGATCCCGGTCAGAATTCAATTCAAGGGGCAAAGCATGTCGTCACAACACACTAAAATCTCTGGATCGTAACGCCCACCCCTTCATGCTGGACTAAACAAGACCTTGGGGGTGAAAACGCACAGTAGCTTTACGCTTTTCTTACCAACACCGGATTCCGAGTCTGGGGAGCACGACAAACTCGTGACCACTAACAGAATCGGGGGGTTCGATTTGCACTCACTTGGGCCCCCCTGGTGGAGGTGCATCGCGGTCACGTTGGCGATGGTGGGGCTCATCTGCAGCTGCCAGAAGCACAGCGCCCGCGGGGTTAGCGCGACCAGGCGCACTAACCCAATTCCGCCGTTGTTTACGACGGGACCTTGTTCCGCTGCCGAGGCCAGCCCCACCTGGCGGACGGAATTGTCCAGCCGCCCCGACAGGCTTAGCTGACCACCGCCCGAGACCGGGATGCTAATCCGGTAGTTCTGCAGAATTGAAAAAAGGATTTGTGAGTTACATCTGACGTTTCTGTTTCTTTTCGGTGTAGCGTCGCTGGTATGAAAACTCCGCAGTTTGCTGACTTGAAACTCAAGGTTGGAATAGGGAAAGAACCAGCAATCAAGCGTCACACGTTGCTTTCAGACAAAGCCCGCCACAGCCGCTCGTTTGTCCTCGGTTTGTTCGAAACCGACAAATCTGTCGAATGCAAACAACTAGCATCTCGTGTCTTCTGCGAATGCACCCTTGTTCACTCCTCGAAAGGAGTCTCGCTTTTAGGCAACGTTTTCGAGCACTATTGGTGATATAAACGAAATTGCATGTACGAAAAAGAACAAAACTCTTTCTCCCGATCCACCTCCATATCTCGGATGACATTTGGCATGCCTTCTTCACACCATAACAGTCGTCTGCTCTTCACACCATAACAGTCGCCTGCTCAGCCCCGAAAAGAAGGGGTCTCGATTCTGGCCGGTTTTGCCGCAGCTTTCTCTTCCAAAAGCCGACGTACGATTAGGAGCAAATGTATCACTCAACCGACGTATCATAAGAAGCAAAAGTAACCTTCCAACCCACCTCCATGTGCCTATAATGCTTGCCATGCCTTCTTCAAACCTCACTTGTCGCGGCCTGCCCAGTCCCGAAAAGAAGGGGTCACAATTCTGGGCGGTTTTGCCGCAGTTCTCTTTTTCAAAAGCCGACGTACGAATATAAGCGAAAATCTCGTTCAGCCGACGCATAATAAGAAGCAAGGGTGTTCTGCCGACCCACCTCCATGTGCGCTTTGATGTCTTCTTCAAATCTCAATTGCTGCCCAGTCCGAGAAAAAAGGGGTCACAATTCTGGGCAGTTTTGCCGCAGTTCTCTTGTTCGAAAACCGACGTACGATAAGAAACCATTAGAAGCAAAATCATCGTTTCGCCGAAGCATATAATCCAAAAAAAACACAAAAAAAAAAAAAAAAAAAAAAAAAAAAAAAAAACAAACAAAAAACAGAAAATAAAAGAGATTCTACCGACCCACCTCCATGTGCGCGGTGATGTCGGCCATTTGGCCCGAGCCTAGGGGCACGCAGTGCCCGGTAGTTCCAACCGGGAACGTGATCGAGAGGGTGGGGAGCGTCTGAGTCCCGTTGATGAAATCCACTTCTGTGGTTAGCGGAGGGGCGAGCCCAGAGAATTGAACGTTGTGCGCGCACACCGCAGTCTCCTGCACGGGGCCAAGAAGATTTTCTTCAGATTTCGACCCTTTTACCGGTATGAAGAGGGTCGGCTTGATCCACTGGATCCGGACGTTTTGGGCGGGACTAAGGTTGTCTCGATCCTGCAAACTTACTCAAGATGTCCGGCGTTTTGGGGTTCGACTGCCAACGAAGCGAGTCGTTGTCGTGGGCCACATCGAGCGTCGCTCCCAGTAATCGGCGCCACGATTACAGTACTTCACCTTGGCTAGGGGCTTTTGAGTCCAATCGCGTGAACCCGTCAGGTGACTCTGTTTCTGCGAAGCTCACCGGTATTGTTTCCACCGCCCGAGACCATGCTTTAGCGGCAGTACGACCCTCTACATGAGCAGTGTAGTCTTCCAATACCAATTTGACAGAAGCGTTCTTTCATCGCCTACACGTACGGTTCTCTCATACCAGGCTCTTATGTAGTGCAACTGCTTTTTTCTGGCAGTCGAAGATATAGTCCAGCTATTTCAGACATTTCTTCTCGTTTTCCGAAAACCTGTGAGACAAAGAACGAAAGTGGAGCAGCCGCCGCTTGGCCAGCCTAATGCAAGCAAGTCACGGAGCGCCCCTTGTGTGCAGCCCCTTTGGGCGACAGCGAATCCTGCCGAAACCCCCCTGGAAAGCCGTCCCCTCCATAAAGCTCTCCACGAAAGGTCCCCAAACCCGGTGGGTCCTTTCAAGGAACCAAGATTCCAAGAAGACTGAAAACTTCGATTACGCTATGAACAAAGAAAGATCCTCGAGCAGAACGAAACCGTCCTTAGCAAAGTGCAAACGCAAGAAAGCGCCAGAAAAGGGCGGGCGACCGCTCACGTGGAACGAGACCTGGACGGTCGCCCGCGGCCGCGTCGCGGCCGCGGCCCCCGTGTCCGGCGAGTCCAAAACCACGACAGTTGTCAGCTTCGGAAAGAAGCCACGTGTCCAGCTGCGGAAGGGGCTGGCGGGTGTTGTGGGAACCGTGGTCGAGTGGAGCTCCACGAAATACGGGGCGGGGTTTGCCAGCATCGCAAGCGCGTCGCTCGCGTTAACCACAATCGAACCGGAACCGAGCGCGAGGGTGAGCTGGTAGTACACGGGGCCCTGGGACACGGTGACCGGGGTCGGTTAGCGCACGCAGATTGTTGGAGTCTGATCTCTCAACCTTCCCAGGGCTCAAACTCAAGAACGAACACAGATCTTCAGGCGCCAGATCTCATCAGCCAGCGGATAAGATTAATTCAAAACTTGGAAACAGGGAAAAATGGAGCGTTATCTAACACACCGTCTTGTGAATATGCACCCCGGAGATCGTCCCCGACTGCTCCTGCCCGGTGTAAAGCCGGAACTCCCGGTAGCTCAGGCTCAGGCTCGGGGGGATGACGTCAGGGAGCGAGAGGATGACGCTTCCCGTGGCCGGGAACGGAATCGTATTGTTGACGTTGGCGCTCGTGAAGTAGACCATGAAGTCGATCGTGGATTGGTTGGCGACCGCCGCGAGAGGACCGGAAAACGCGGGCGCCGCCCCGGGGGCTGGAAGAAATGAGAAGCAGGCGGTGAGAATGATGACTGAACACTGGTAGGTTCAAAGATCGGACGAAAAGACTTTAATCCGTTAACTCGCGGTAACGAGTAAGCTCATCTGGCTCCGAAACTTCTCCGAAGGTCGTTGGATTTGGACTTTCTCACAGTCATTTGCATCGGGCTCAGCCTGGCCAGCAATGTTATCAATTCTCACCTTCGTTGCCATGGGCCCCACTTCCCGATTTTTGTTGAGAGCTAAAATATCAACCAGGATACTTACAGTCGAAGTGATCACTTGTACCTTATTGGTGCACATACTACTAGTTGAAACACTTGTAGATCAAGTAAAATTGAGCTAGGGTGCTAACCAAAGTTCAGCATCTGCGATTCGTTGGTTTAAGCATTCAAAAGAGAAACACAACGAGTCTCACCCAACGCGGGAGCAAGTTTGGTGGCGGGTGCCGGCGCGGGGGGAAGCGCGAGCGGAACCGGAAGCGCTCCGAGCGCAAGAACCGGGCCCTGGAGAGCCGATGTTCCGGGCCGTTAACCATGGACGCTTATAGGCTGGTTAGAAACTGGTCAAGAGGTCTAACCACCAGACTTAAGCGGTAACCAGCCCCGGAGCAAGCTTCGACAGCGGTTCTGTGACCAGTGACCGGCGGAGAGTCAAGTCAGGTAAGCAGCCTGGTTAGCAGCCAAAATCTCCTGTCCCGAGAAGAAGAATTTCGATGTTATGACAAGGCAGACGAATCGAAGATAACCCACGGAAGGACGGGTGGGGTTAGCTCGGTGGTGAGAGAGGGTCTGGGTGCTGAGCGCATAAATCTCTGGGTCACGTTTGCAGTCTCTCTTTGCTTGGTAGAGTGACGTATTTACTCAGAGAATTTTGAAGCATCGAAGTGAAGACTTAATTACCTGGAGCGCTCCACTGGGGTGGCTACTGGTCGAGACGTTGAAGAACGTGCCGTTGCTCAGGGTGCCGGTCAGGTACGCCGCCATGACGTCAGCGCTGACGTTGACAACGCAGCCGGCTCTGGAGGTGTTGACGTTTGCGCCGGAGACGGGGAGGAACGTGACCAGGGGGGGGCCGGGATTGGCTGGAAACAGAGGGGGGGGGAGAAAATTGATTAAGATGGGCGGATGCGTTGTGGGACGTTACACTCGAAATGGGACGGAATGCACAAACAGGGGGTTGGGTTTGGCGGAAATCAGACGGGGTTAGGCGAGAGTGCCGCGGTTCGGCGCACAAAGTCGAACCGAGGGAGAGCGATGGAACAAGACCTACGTAATATGTCATAATCTGAGCACTGACCACAAGTGCTTTTTGAAGGGGACGGTCATCAAAAACGAGAAAAATCCGAGACTTTGATCCGCAAATGGGCACGTTCGAACCACTACGAATAAGGACGTGGACAGCGGAGAAACCCGATAGAATCTCGCCTCAGTAGTGAGTCGACTGACAAAACTTAGAGGGGCAAGAGGGGGAGTTATCTCCGGTCTAGTTTACTTGGTTTTGCTCCGACTCCGTCCGGCAGTTCCACGTGTCGGCGAAAAGCAATTCAAACAACGCATGCACGTGGGGACAGGACAGAAGGCCGGAAAACTTCTTAAGACGGAAAAAAACATTGTAGACCCTGCAAATTCAATCGGGCAGAATCCTTTCGGGAGACAAGGGAATTTTACTCTGAGTCCCCCCCTGAAGGGCGATCCCCGTCACATTCCCCGCGACCAGCGGGCTCAGCTTGAGGTCGAAGTAGCACAGCGAGGCGGGCGAGGGTGACGTCAGCTTGAGCTGCCCCAGGGCCGAGGATAATGACGTCCCTTCCGAGGTCGATGACGTGGCACCGTACAGGGTCACCACGTGGACGGACGAGTCGAGGGCGCCGGTGAGGGCGGTCGAGACGAGGCCCGTTTGCTGGGGGATGCTCAGGCGGTAGTTCTGCGGAAATGTATCGGGTTTACGTTAACGGATTTTGCTACTTTGAGTTAGCTCCTTGCTCGGAGGTCTGGATGGATAGGGACATGGGACAACTTTTGGGGTTAAAGCTCGGTGGGGGTGCGCAGCAAATTACAAACGGATTTCGATTCCGACTTCTGAAAATGCGCTTTTCTTGGTATTACGACTTGCATCCGTTGGCAGTTGCTAAAAGCTTTCCTCCCGGCATTCGGACCGCCTTTTAACAACCAAGCTTTTCCTCGCCGCGCGGGTGATTGCTTTGACATTGACATATTCTCGAAAAACCTAGAAAGGAGTTTGTTTCTGGTGTTTGGCGTGTTTTCCGTCCGGTCTCTGTTCCGGTTCTCCCCTCACGCGGAGGGGCACATCCCGTGTGACCCTTTGAAATCGGCAAGCTCCCGAAAAAGGCAAACGACTTTAGAATTCCCGTCAATTCCAAGCCTACCATCTCACAGGAGTTTTTGGCCGTTAACCACGGATGGTTAGGGGCTGTTTATGGCTGGTCAGCGACTGGTTATATGTCCAGCAACCAGACCTGGGCCTTAACCGGCCCCGGACCAAGGTCAAAGCCGGGTTATTTGTTCAGTAACCTGAGACCCAGTCTGGTAATCAGCCTGGTTAGCAGCCAAACCTTGCTGTGTATGCAGAACCTCACCTGCAGATTGCTCGTGATAGTGTCCACCTGTTCCTGCGCCGCGGGAATGCACACGCCCGTCGTGTTCCCCGTGTTGAGGTTGAAGATCAGAAGCGGCGCTCGCTCCCCTGCGTCGATGACGTCGACTTCCAGCGTCCCCGGGGGCACGAAGAACGGCAGGTTCAGGTTGTACAGGCACACCGCGTCATCCTGCGCGACGAGATGACGTCAGGATAGGCTATTGGGACGTCAGCTTGCTGGGATGCGGATCGCAAAAAGTTCTTGTTAGCAGCCTGATAGAGGGCGAGGTGACCCTCATAGGATTCTGAAAGCAAGTGACGCTTTCCCTCGCCACGGCCCCCATCCGACACAGCCCTTGTTCCTGGACGAATGAGATGGACAAAAGAATTCCGCCGAGAAGGACCAATTTTAGTGGAAACTCCTGGTTCAAACCCCCGGGTCCATCCGCCCGCCTGCTCAATTCGGATCTTCCTCCCCATTCTGACCTCCCAATCATGCGCAAGGGCCCAAAGCGATCGGCTGCCTTTTCAGACTCTTTGATCGAGAAGCAACCCCAAGGGCACTTTTGACTTCGCTCGCACTATTTGACAGGTGGCTTACGAGAATCCCGATCAGTACAAGTCGACCTGACAAGAGGCTCGTATCTGAAAGGACAGCTCCTTGTGGGTTCGCTCAGACGAAACCGAGAAACGAACTTTTCCCACGAAATTGCTACAGCGCTCAGACATGGACGTCCTTGACTCAACGGCGATGCAATTACGCCTAACGGGTTATTCACTTGGAACTTCAAGCTCCCGTTTCGAGTGAGGCCACTCCTCAGGGGGTCACGAAGTCGGCGAAAGTTCTCAAACGACTTCCATTTCTGGACACAGAGGAGTTCCGGCGACGTTCTTCCTCCTTTCCGATCAAGCCGGGAAGAGCAACTCACTTGGAAGGACAGGCTCGCGTTTCCAGCGAGCCCGCTCCCCGCGGGATCCGTCAGTGGGATTGTGAGAACTAGACTGGGCAGGTTTCCCTCGGCCCAGGCACGGAACGGATTGGTCGGCGTGGCGGGGACAGAGTTGGAGTGCAGCTGGACGAAGTACGTGGCCGGGTTGGTAACTAGGGTGAGGTAACTTCTGAGGTCGAGCGGGATGGAGCCGACGCCAAAGTCGATGAAGTACTGGATGAAGGGGCCCTGAGGGAAAAAAGGAACACGAAGGCTGAAAGAATTAAACACAAGAAAGATAATCAGAAAACCGATTCTTCTTCTGGAAGTTGGCGTAAGTGCTCATCTTCCGGTCAGAAGGCTCTTCATTGGTACATTCCATGAGGGCGGAAGTAGATTCTAGTACCCCCTGCTCCTCTGAAAAATTTGGTGAAGAGCCCACGTTCAACCCAGCAAGCGTGCCCTTGGTACTACAGTCCACGGCCTAGACTTGTGCACGTAGAGGATTCTGCTGACTGTAGAGAATGAAGTGGCCCGAATCTGTGGCGTTGCTTCGAGTCAAGCAACTAGCTGTTGAGAGTTGCTTCTATTTCGCAGCAGTTGGCATTCTCTGTCTTTCTTTCGGTCCCAACCACGTCGAACCCCACTGGTCAAAAGTGAAGGGTCTTCGGCCAGATTAAATGAGCGAAAAAGGACGAAGCCAGATTCAGACATGACATTCCAAAGCCGCAGTGATATCCTAGACCCAACGAGACACGCCCATCCCATTCCCCACTTTCTTGAACGGAGAAGACATGAGGTCACCTTGGCAAAAGACTACACATGATCCCTCAAAAGAGGCCCCATAATCCCCCCAGCTTAAAGGGCGTTCCTCAAGCCCACTATCTTCTACATATACAGCTAGAGGCAGGCAGTCATAAGAAGCCCTCAATATGCCTTAACAAGAGGCCCTGAACAAGCCCTTAAGCCCTTAAACCCTGTCTAAGAAGAAGTCCTTAAAAGTCGAAAACAGGTGAACACCTGTTTCTGATTCAAGACTGTTCAAAATTAGAGACACAACAGCCACCCACCTTCGCTCTGGTGTGCACGTGCTTCCCCGAGAAGAGAGGCACCGCACCCCCTGGATAGAAGGTCAGCTCTCGGTAACTGAGCGCTGTCGTCATGTTGTTCTCTGCCTGCGGACTATCCCCCAGGGTGAGAATGATGCTGCCGCTGCCCGCAAGTAGGGGGTCGGTGACGTTGACAACGGCGCTCGTGAAGTAGACCATGAAGGTGATTCCGTTCTGAGGGGGGGCTGGCTGTGGGGAAGGAGCGTTGCCTGTGGAAAGAAAGGCAGAGGGTTCCAAAGATTGAAATGGGTGTAAGGCTTTGTTGTGATGGGTGTAAGGGCTTGAGAGATAAGAACAGGTGAAGGGGTTTGACTGATGGAAGCAGGTGAGGGGTTAAATGTTTGGATGCAGGTAGGGGTTTTGGTGATGGGATTGGGTGCACAGGTTTTGCTTGTTTGGAAAGGATTTCGAAGTACTTTAAATGGGTGCATGGGTTTGACTGCTTAGAATGGGTATCAGGGTTTGAGTGTTTGGAATTGGTGCAAGGATTTGCATGTCGAACAACGGGTCAGGGTTTGAGTGTTTGAAAAAGGGTGTAGGTTCGAGATGGGTGTAAGGGCTTACGTGTTTGAAATGAATGTTCAGCAAGGGTGTCTATTGTTGGAAAGCATACAAACAGAGGACTTTACCAGACCAGTTTTATGGAGGTTTCAAAACAGGTCAGGAGACTGGTTAGGAACAAGTAGGCAGGTAAACAAGCTCAATCAGTAGGATCAGAAGCAACATCTGAAGAGACCCAATCAGATTGAGTGAATTTGAGAAGCAAGAGCGAATTGCCAGCCTCGTCCCTTCAGAGGCAGATCATCCTCAGAGAGAACCTTTGGCAGACCAACTCTGCTCAGAAGTGCCGTTCTTAGAAATGGTCCAGACCTCGGTAGCCTCTCATTGTTTGACCACCAGGGGCCATGACACAAAGGAATTCTCGACAATTGAACATGTGCTTGCCAACACGAACCGAAGGTGCAAGGGGCACTGTATTCTTCATCAGAACAAGAAGCTCTATGCTCACATTCTCCAGCGGTAACAGTTCCTTGGCAGACTGAAGGGTTTTGCCAACCTGACGTGCAAAATTCCTGTGCAGAAGGCACCCCCGACTGCTTGCTTGCTTACAACAATATTCATGCCAGTCACAATCAAAGCTTGGACCATCTTTTGAACTTGGAATTTGTGGTTTCCTGTACAGTAACCAATGAGTCTTATCGGTATACATCCTTACCATGAAGGGGATCCCTCAACCTGCGCTAATCGCTCAATCTACAAAATATACCCCGACAAGCTGCAGACGCATCGCCGCCATCCCACTGAGGGATCCCTTAATATCCAAATGATTGCATATCAGGCATCGGTGCAAGTTTTGTTTCAAAGGGAACCCCCAGCATGGAATTGCATAAGAAAGTCAACAGCCAGGACTGGTTCTTGACTTTGACTTCTCGACAGAACAAACCGTCTCACCAGTGTCCGGCAATCACACTAGTCTTCAGCAATGAGAGGAAAGAAAGAAGAGATAAGGGTTTGGACTCAGGACCCTTCTTTCCTCAAGGGGCACCATTCTCTGATTGCATTATACACCAAACGTGTGGCTGCATATCGGGTCCTCCAAATGGGGTCAGGGCAGCAAGTTTCAGAAGATAGGACACAATTCCCCTGTCCTCTCTGAAGGGAAGAGCTGGACCAAGTCAAATCAAGCACTGAGCACTCCCTCTGCATCTGAATAAAGGGCAAGGCTTCCACAACCTACTTGTGGTCATCCTACCATTGCAGGGAAACCAGTAAGTGAAAACACTTCACCTCATGATACTCATCATTGCCCAGGAACTCACCGTCTGTTTGCAATAGCTCCCTGCTTCCCAGTGCCCCCGTGAAAGCGCTTGCCAAACAAAAGATTGTCAAAAGGGCAGCCATCTTTGTAGAGGCCCCTTTCCCCAATGACTCTGAACCACGGTCTGCATTAGACAGACCAAGCAACAGATTCATCATTCTGGCACTGTCAATGAGTCCCTTTCTCAACGCTCCGCCAATTTCAAAGGCTGACGCCCGCCCTTCCTTTGGTATGGTCGACTCATACGTTTTGAGCTGCAATCTGCAAACAGACTTGCTGCTTCGAAATATCTGCTCCAGACGTCGCTGCCTGCTCCCCTATGGACTCAATTGGCAGCTAGCTCGCAGCCAACTCAGGAGGAGGTTTACTATCTCTATGATTGAGAACAGCGTCCCCTGCAACCCCGCGTGCTGAAGAATCAGATTCAAACGACTTAGTAGGTGAAAGAATGGCAACACTTTCCTACCTGTATAGCTAGCTGTCACCTGTGTGCTCGCATTCTCCGAAAACTTTGGCACTCTTGCCATTGGAGCTGGAGCCTCAGAGTCAGAGCCTGACCCGTCTCTGCTACCAAGATTTCAGAAGGACAGAGCGCTTTCCATCTGTCACCCCCGAATTGGACAAGCTGGGCACATCATACGGAGTCGTACCTGAAGAGAAAGCTAGGTATTACCTATCGCGATGTTGGCGGACTGCATCCAATTAGGCTACAGCCTCAGGGACTGCATCCTGCTGGGATGTTGTTTTCGATGGAGTGTTCGATACCTGCGATTAAAGCTGGAAGTACATTATCTCGTCGAAACCCGTAAACTTCGCACCTAATGGAATGCAGGCTGGCCGTGCAAAAAACTTGGCCGGAAGTCATTTCATGACACCAGCTTGCCTTCTCTCAGTCAAAGCTACGAAGTCCTGCTGCTGTAGCAGTGTACGTACTACCGGTACGTACAGTAGTATAGGTAGGTAGGTAGGTAGGTAGGTTGTTCGTCAAGCAGCCAAGCTAGAAGAAGACCGGTTGCATGTTGAAGACGAGTCACGATTGTGCAACAGCGAACGGTCGCTGTCGCGCGGTATTCCGGCGAACGTAGTCGCCCTATTTTCGGACATTTGCGAGATTTCGGACCCACCGAGTAGTCCACCGAGCACGCTGGTTTTTGCACCAGCAGAGCCTTGTTATATACGTTGCTATATATGAGACGTCCTGTGTCAAACCCCCTGGTTCTGATTTTGCGGTCCGCATCGTCGGAATGCCAGAGAGTCTTGCAAGATATCCGGAATCATTCGGAATCAGGCGACCAACTGGGTACTCAAGGCCACGGTACCGTGGTCCATAGTACAGCAGGTGTACCTACTATGCACAGCAGTGCACAGCTTAAACTAATATCAGGTGTACCTAGTACCTACCCTAATTCTTAGTCTGTACTTACGGCCGTACAATTAGATTTTCCATGCACTGTACGGACTTTGAGCCGGCCGGCCGCCGTCTTCATATACCGGTAACTCTCGTGTGCATGACCTAGCGTGTGACCCGGGTAATACGAGTTACCCGGGTAATACGAGTTATCCGGGTAATACGAGTTACCCGGGCACTTCAAACTAAAAAGCCTAACCCAAGTAATCACCCGCTCCGCACCCCAACCCACCCTAACCACCATACCAGCCCCAACCGTCCCCCGGGTGCCTATCTTAGGTCACATGGCTCTAGCCTCTTGGGTCACACGAAAAACATCGGAGTCGTCTTCATCTTCCGGGTTAATATCTGTCTAGCTGGACTACTCAAGGTGATGCCGGGGGCAGGCGTTGACTCCTATTGACTTTCGAAGTGGCGGCCTAAAAGTCTGAAATGTCGAAATGCACTTCGAAATCCTGGCAGGCCGACACCGCAGCAGAAACCTCAGCAGAATGGAAACGCACTGATCGAAGTTGCGAAGTTGTCATAGACTCTGAAGAGACATTGAAGACTGAACTAGTTCTGAAGAGAACTTCAATGTCGGAAAGCTGAGCAATAGGTATATATAGCCTACTGTACTCACGTCACAAGACTGGCACTGTTTGCGGCCGCATAAATGCTTAGTTTAGCATGCCATCTTTTCATGAAATCTCCAAGCTAGGAAAACGTCTCTATATATCAAACTCGCAGCTTTTGCAATCATGTTTTGCGTCTACATAGCTGCAATCAAACTTGGACTTCTCTAAGAATTATGGAATATCGAGTAATATACTTCCGTGCATGACCCTACACAAG